ATTAGCAAAGATTTGCACTTTTTGATGTGAAAAAAACAACCAAAAAGCTCTTTTACAACATGATCTTGTCCATCTTTGTAGGAGTACAGTCGCCTCATCCCAGGCACAACAGTGGGAATATTGTCCGATGACTCTGGGAATGTCATTCAGCTCATTAAAGAGGCCTATGCGGTAAGGACTTCCGGATTGGGGTGTAATGAAGATGAAATTCCCAGTGGTGGGCAGGAGAAGGGGCTTGGTGTATTTGTAATCTTTTTACAGAGTATTGCAGGCATTAAAACGTTATTTTACCTGCAATGAATTTTAATTAAAAAAATACTTGGCAAGTTTACTCAATTCGATTTAATGAAAAACAAAAAAAAAACAAAACATTTGACCCCATGGGGTCATTAGAGGCACGCAGAGCAGTTGTACATAAAACAAGCAAGGGGGAAATAAATGCAGTGCAGAGAAGGAACCAGTTTTCAGAACATTCAATAATAATTACTGGACTGGAATACAAACTGTATAAAAATAATCGCAATTAAATCTAGTGTGTGATTGGGGGAAACGAAACAGTGGATACAAACAAAATAAAATAAAATAAAATAAATGGGAGTCATTAGTGCCGGACAAAAAATGAAGAAACACTGTGAAGACAATCTTTTTTTTTTTTGTTTGTTTGTTTTTTTTTCCACTACCAACAATGACATGATATTTTTTATGAATTTGTGCTGAGCAGAGAATCCGTTCTGTAGTGGACCTGGAGTTGCTGGGAGTTCCAGAGGAGCTGCATCTCTCATTCAATGCCACTTGCCTTAATGGAGAGGTAACTCCTGGCCTTAAGTCCTGTTCTGGCGTCAAGATTGGAGACACTGTAAGTATCGGCAGTAGTTCCCACATCTGGTTCCTCCGCGGCACAGGCTCACAGATACACGTGGTCTGTCGTAGGTGTCCTTCAGTGTTGAGGCTCAGCTCCACGGCTGCCCAAAGGAGAAGAGCAGCACCTTCACCATCAAACCTCGTGGCTTCAAGGATGTCCTGGAGGTTCAAGTGGACTTCGCCTGCAGCTGCGACTGTCAGGCCAGTGTGGAAGCCAACAGCCCCCTCTGCAGCAACGGCAACGGGACGTATGAATGCGGCGTGTGCCAGTGTCACCCGGCTCGTCTCGGGAGTCGATGTGAGTGTTCGGTGGAGGACTACAATCCTTCCGATGACGCCAACTGCTATCCCAAGCCGGGCAGCCCAGTGTGCAGTGGCAGAGGTGAATGTTTGTGTGGACAGTGCTCCTGCCGTGCAAATGAGTTTGGCCAAGTGTGGGGAACGTTCTGTGAATGTGACGACTACAACTGCCTGAGATATAAGGGCGCTCTTTGCTCTGGTGAGTACTCACACTTCCTGTGGAATTGATTATACTTAACATCATTTTTGTGGTAAAAAATAATTAATTTTTCAAGTATTTTTTAAATGCACCTTAATATATATATATATAGTGCTACAAATGTCCCATGTTTGACAATATTAGGCATATCTAATCTCTTTTAAGGAAAACTTTAAGACAGTGGTTCCCAAAATGAGGGGTGGACCCACCTAGAAGCACGTGGGGCTATTGTAGTGGGGCGGATACTTTATTTTGTTCAATGAGAAGATGAATTGGCAGAAATTTAAAATGAGTTCAGTGGAGTTTTGAGGCAAAGTCAATAGTCCATTAATAAACATTTTGAAATGCATTTTGATGAACGAAGACATTGTGTCTCACGGGCAGGGACTGAGCCATTTCAGAACACAGCTCTATATTTATACAATTTTAAGACTAGATTAAACAATGTTTCAAAACCCAGTCATGTATTTATAAAAATGGAGCCTCCGTCTGCCTGGAATATTTAAAGCATATTTCCAGGTACAGTGCTAAAGGCTTGGCTCAACCTCAAAGGTCACCTCTTTACTCATCTCTAATCAAATACAGTGTTGCAAGCTGCTATGAAACCACCTGTGTCTAGTTCACCTTTCAGAGGTTGCGTTGTTTACACCGCTCTCCCTCCAGAGTAAACACTAATTCATGCGGCTGTTATCAAAAAAGATAAGGTCACCACCGCCTTCCTCTTTCCTCTCTTATGACCCGATAATCCAATCTTACTGATACACACACACACATACGCTCTGTGTTTGTCTCCATTTCCTGACATTTGAAGTTTCATGTTTCTACAGCTGTTCTAAAGAAACGGTCCATTTCCATGTGAGTTTTCGTTGCCCGTAAAAGTCTTGTTACCACTTTCTGAACAGCTGAACATAAACAGAAAATTCATTAATGGCCTTAAAGTACACAGTCACAGAAGACCACTCCCAAGTATTGCAGCCTTGGGTTTGACTGTTGTTTTTTATTGCAGTGCTTGGTTACAAGTCAGAGCAGCTCAGACACAGTTACTCAATCACAGTGGTAAAATACGAATGCTCTGCGTCACTGGGTAATCTAACATGAGAGTTAGATGGAAAATAGTAGTATACAGTACCTGTAATGCAACTGTGTTTTTTTTCTGCTACTAGAGGGGCTGTAGGACTGGTTCAGGTCCAGAAACAGTCCGTCAGTCAGTCAGTCAGTCA